ACCAAATGTCCAGTCAATTCACTTGACAGTGTACATTGAGAAGCGCTTTGAGACGTCTCAATTGGCTCCTGATTGGCCGCCAATCACACAGTCACTAACTACACTTAACAGCGATTCCTTGTGAGGCGCTGACACGTTGTGATGTGACGGGCAGGGGGTGTGGGGTGGGGGGGCGTTGGTTGATGGGCGGGCGGAGGAGAAACAACAGGAGAGAAGTGGGCACCTGCTCACTCCTCATTAACAAGCGCTGCTTCATGTCTGCCATCAACCACAAACCAGGTTCCTCCGAGGTGAACACAGGGGAAAACCAAACACAACGGTCGCTACACTTTGCAGTCCATCCCGCGAAGCGCTTTGAGAAGTCTCGGAGATGTGATTGCGGGGTGAGAGCGCGGGGACGGGGTGGGGTGAGGGGGTGTCGTGTCGTTAACGCACCTTAAACACCTGCAGCTAATTCCAGACCTCTCGCCTCAGACCCTCAGCTGTAAACGGTGATTATTCTCAGAAGAATCCTTTCCATTCAGAAGAATTGCTTTGTGCTCGAGGCTGTAACTCACCCTCACATCCTCTCTCCCCCACCCCTCTATTCCTCTCTCCCCCACCCCTCTATTCCTCTCTCCCCCACCCCTCTATTCCTCTCTCCCCCACCCCTCTATTCCTCTCTCCCCCACCCCTCTATTCCTCTCTCCCCCACCCCTCTATTCCTCTCTCCCCCACCCCTCTATTCCTCTCTCCCCCACCCCTCTATTCTCCTCTCCCCCACCCCTCTATTCCTCTCTCCCCAAGCCCTGTCCCCCACACCTCTCCCCCCCCTCTTCCCCCTCTCCCCCGCCCCTCTGTTCCCTCCCTCCTGTACCTGAGATGCTGAGAGCTTTCTGCGCAATCGCATCTCCGAGCCGTCTCAAAGCGCTTCACGGGATGGACTGCAAACGGTGCGGTGGTGACCGTGTGTTTTGCGCTTCCTCTGTGTTCACCTCGGGGGAGCCGGGTTTGCGGTTGACGGCTGATTGCTTGTTGACGAGGAGAGAGCGCGGGCGCCCACTTCTCTGCTGGTGTTCCTCTCCTCCGCAGGTTGACAGCCCAGAGTCCAGGTCAGAACTGCTCGGGGGCCGCCTTTCTCCTGAGGTGTGATGCGGATCGAACACAATAATAAATTGGTCATTTTCAATCTACGACTGTTTGTGGGACATTGCTGTGCGCAATTGGCCGCCGCGTTCGCCCACAAATATACAGTCAATTCGCTTTACAGTGTGTTCTGTGAAGCGCTTTGGGACGTCCTCCCGACGTGAAAAGCGCTATATCAAATGCGAGGATTATTATTATTATTAGAAGAGAGGCAGAAGATCTCGGAAGACGTATTGCAGCGCGTGACAGCTGTCAGGAACAGAACCCCACAGCTGTTACAGAATCTCACAGACCCCCCCCACCCACCCCCCCAACCCCCACCCCGGGACTAGTCGCAAACACAAAACAATTCCCGGAGTTTTACAGCGCCAGGAAATTGGGGAGAATATTCCTAACGGCTGCTGCAGGCGGCCGGGTGCGGAGTGCGTGAATCAGAGGAAAGAGTGTGGAAGGTGGGGGAAAGCGGGGAGGGAGGGAGGGAGGGATGGGGGTAAAACGGAATGCGATGGAGACGAGTGGGGGAGGAAAGAGACGAGTGTGGGTGGGGGGGGGTGGGATTCGAATAAAATCACGCGGCTTTTAAAAGAAAGAAAATTTATTGAACGACTCGATGCATTCCGGGAGAAATAATTTACAGCAGCATTTAGCAATCTCACTGTATTTTGTTTGTGTTTTATAACGAACCCCAGAGAGAGAGAGAGAGAGAGAGAGAGAGGGGGGGAACGAGAGAGAGAAACGGTCAAACTGTGTGGACCTTCCGTCTGCTCATGTTTCGTACTGTCATCAGATCCGCAGTTTTCCCCTCTGTTTGAGGATTGAACAACTTTTTTTGTTTCTTTCACTCAATCTGCCTTTTAAACGTCTTTTTATTCTCTTTTTTTCTCCCCCTCCCCCCTCTCTCCCCCTCTCTCTCTCTCGCTCTCTTCTGTAAATTTCCGGGGGCGGGAGATTTGATACCCGATCCGAATTTTTTTAGAAAAAATAATAATGATGTGGTCACTCAATCCAGGACTGTTTGTGGGACGTTTCACCCCCAAAACACAGTCACTCCGCTTTACAGTCTATCCTGTGAACCGCTTTGAGACGTCTCGACGACCTGATCAGGTGCTTTATCAAATGCCAGGATTATTATTATTATTATTATTATTATTTCCACAATTTAAAACCTTTCCGGTCTCAGTTTTATATTCTGGAAGGTTTGTGGTGCAGGAATGTGGAAAAGTACTGTCGTCTTCGCCTGGAAGCTGTTTATTTATTATTAATAATATTAATCCGAGCATTTGGCACAGCGCCGTATCACGTGATCGAGATGTCTCAAAGCGCTTCGCAGTAATTACCGGGAGGTGTAGTGACTGTGTGTCTTTGCAGGCCAACACACGGCAGACCAGTTGTGCACAGTAACTTCCCCGCAAGCAGCCGTAAAGTGAGCGAGCGATTTCGTCGGTGGGGTGGGATTCAGCCGGGACACTGGGGGGGTGGGAGGGGAGAGAGAAACTTCCTTCTCTAAGGACGGGGTCTCCGACAATACGGCACTCTCTCTCCCCCCCCCCCCCCCCACGCTGGGCTGGATCTCAGCCCGGACTGTGAGCTCAAAGACCCCGACCTGGGAGATTGAACCCATTCACCTCCGGGGTTGAAAGCGGATTGGATCGGATTAAGGGGGGAAAACACGGTGAGGCGCGCGGGCTGAGACCGGGTGGAATTTCAGGGCCTTAAACAAGCGCTCAACAAGTGTTAACTGACATGAGGAACGCAGATGGAAACTTTAACCCCCAACCTTCTCCGTCTCCCCCCCTCCCCGACCCCTCGCCAGCCAACCCCCCCCCCACCCCCACCTCTCCTCATCCCTCCCCCGTCCGTCCTCAGACACACGTGAGACAGGAGGAGGAGGAGGGGGTGGTGGGGGGGGCGGGGGGGGGGCAAAAAAAATATTTACATCAACTCCAGGCGAAGGGGAGACTTGACTTGAGTCCCGAGATACGTTTAGCATTTAGTGTTTCAACACAGATAGCAACGTGACTCACACAGTAAAAACAGAGGAAACACTTGTTATTGTATACAGAACAAGTTCCCCCCCCCCACCCTCACACCCCCTCCCCTACCCCCCAACCCTCCCCCTCCCTCCCTCCCTCCCCAGTAAGTAGCACATTCACATGCATATTCTGTACACATCGCTCCTTTTAAGGGGCTCCATATTCTTCTCTCCCTCTTGGAACTGGCTCGGACATAGAAAGTAAAGCAGTACAATGTCCCCCACCCCACCGCCCCCCATAACAATATACATCTCTCTCCCCCCCCTCAACGTGGGCTTATGTTGATCCCCGTACCAAAAACAAGAGTGGGGGGGGGGGGGGGGCTGGTCTTGTTGATAATAATAATAATCCTTGCATTTTATATAGCGCCTGATCACGTCTGTGAAGACAGGATACACTGTGAAGTGTAGTGACTGTGTGTTTTGTGGGCGAAACGCGGCAGCCAATTGCGCACAGCGATGTCCCCACAAACAGCCGAGGATTGAGTGACCAGATTCTCATTAATGAAGGAATTATTATCTCTGAAGGGATCATTATCCCTGGAAATGCCATCCACCAATCAACCCTCAACCCGGGTTCCTGCTTACTGCCCCCCACCCGGGAATCGAACCCGGGTCCTCGCGCTTGCGAGGCGGGTGCTCTAACCACTGAGCTACAGGACTCCAACCTGTCCCTCTATCCTGATGTTCCCACTCACTCCCTTCACCGCCCCCCCCCGGAAGGTCATCCGTGATTTCCAAAAGATGGGAATGTTTACAGAAACCTCTCTCCTCACCCACCCACTCCGAACCCCCCCCCACCCACCCGCACCCACTCGTCCTCACCAAAACATGTTAAGAGAGCGATGTTGTCAGAGTCAAATTAAGAGACAGACACACACACACACACACACACACACGCTCACATACACACACACACACTCACATACACACGCACTCACACACGCACACACACATATATATATATATGAATATATGTGTACACCAGAATATATATATATGTACATGAAATGTCAAGGCATTTACTGCATTCCTGAATGAAACGAGCGAAGGGGGGGGTGGGGGGGGGGGGTGCGCGGGAGGGAGAGAGGGAGGGAAGGAGAGAGGGAGGGAAGGAAAGAGGGAGAGGAGTGAAAGAGGGGGAGCGAGAGGTGGAGAGGGGAGAGAGGACACATAGATCTTCTCATGTGTCGCATTCCTCTACCATGGCAGTGCATGAGGCCAACACGGCTTCTGAGTCCAGCCATCGATGTGAGCGTGGCTTAGGTGGGGTGGGGGGGGGGGGAGTGGGGGAGTGTTGGGGGGGGGGAGAATGTGGGGGGAAGGGGGTGAAGAGGTGTTGCTTATTTGCTGTCAGTCTTGGAATTTCAGTCAAGTTTTGGTAAAACAGCCCCAAGTCGTTGAGCGCGACAGACAGAGCGCATCGCAGGGGCAAAGGGGGGTGAGGTGGAGGGGGGGTGAGGTGGGGGGGGTGAGATGGGGGGGGGGCGAGGAGGGAGCGAGTGTCAAACAAGATGGGGTGGGGTTGGGGGTGGGGGGGCGAGGGGGAGTGTGGGATCCAGGAAGTGTCTAGCGATCGTATTGTACAGCGGTGGGGGGGTGGGGGGAGGTGTAGAGGGGGGAGGGTTTGAGCAGCCTGTATAATTGTAAACATGAACATAATGCAGCGTCGTGGTTCAACGACTGATTTCCCCCCCACCCTTACCCTCACCCTCACCCTCCCTCACCCCCACACTCGCACACACACACACACACACTGGCATTGAGGAGGTGGGGTGGGGGGGTGGGGGGGGGTTGGAGAGAGAGTGAGAGAGGAGTGTGTGTGAGGCCAGGAGCCGGTGAGGAGATGATGGGGTGTGAGGGAGGGAGAGGGAGGGGGAGGGAGATGAGGAGGGGGTTTAGTTGACAGTTAGACACTCCGTGGCGCTCTCTCATTCTCGTGCGTCCGTCGGTTCCTCCCTTTCTTGCTCTCCTGCAAGTGCTTCCATTTGTTGCCGGTTCCGTGTGGGTTGGCGTGTGCGTGTGCGCTGGCGTGTGGGGGTCGCTGCTTCCGCTGTCTCCTCTCTCTCCGCCACACCTGCTCGCACAGTTCATCCATGGTGTTGAGGTTGGGGTGGTTGATGAGCTGCAGGAAGTCTCTGTACCACACCTTGTGGCTGGGGGGGTGGGGGGCCGCTAATCCGTGGCCCCCCCTGGCCCGAGCCCCCCCTCCCCCGAGCTCCCCGTCCGTCTCCCTGTGGAGCAGCTCCCCCAGGTGCTCGGCGTCGATCACCTCCAGGGTCAGGCTCAGCACCGTCTGCATGTAGCCGTGCTCCACCGTCTGGCAGGTGTACGTCCCCCCGTCCCCCCGCTCCAGCCTCCGCAACAGCAGCCCCTGCTCCGTACCCAGCACCCGCTCGTCAGCCGCCACCTACACAGGGGAGGGGGGGAGAGAGGGAGGGAGGGAGGGTGGGAGGGAGAGAGGGAGGGAGGGAGAGAGATGGGGGGAGACAAGGAGAGAGGGGGAGGGAGACAGGGAGGGCGAGAGGGAGGGAGAGAGAGAGAGGGAAGGAGACAGGGAGGGATGGAAGGAAGGAGAGAGAGGGAGGGATACCAGGAGGGAGGAAGAGAGAGGGAAGGAGACAGGGTGGGATGGAGGGAGAGCGAGGGAGGGAGAGAGAGTGTCAGTGTCACAGCAAACAACAACAAGATCAATATACACGAGGTTGGTCCAACGGGTGGATTTCCAATGTCCTGGTCAACAATCCCCTAAATAAAGTGGTCACTCGATCCACCAGTGTTTGGGGGGGGTGGGGGGGGGAACGGCGCTGTGCGCAATCGGCTGCCGCCTTTCGCCCCCAAAATACACAGTCGCTGCTCTTTACAGTATAATTTGTGAAGCGCTTTGAGATGGACGTCCTGACGATGTGATCGGGCGCTGTGTCGAATGCAAAGATTATCATCATTATGATTATCACTGATATTAACATCAACCGCATCAAGAACATCCACAACAGGGTTTCACTGTAAAGTCCGGGGACCGTGTGTTTTGTGGGCGAAACGCGGCGGACAATTGAGCGACAGACAACGCAGAGCGGACCGTGAGCTCAAAGCCTCCCCGCCGTGGGGGCTCGGAAACGGTACAGCTGGGCTGTTAGTTGCCGGGAAGGCAGAGGGGGACAAGCGGACCGTGAGAGTCTGTCGTTACCTCCTGCTTGTGCTCCTCGTTGTGTCTCTGGAACTGCCAGTAAACCAGAGCTCTCTGGGATTTGGGAACACATTCCAGGAACGTGGTGCTGTTCTCAACCCCGTAGATCACCTTCTCCTCCAGGTCCTCGTGCTCGTGTAGATTATCTGTGGGGAGAGAGCGTCAGAGAGTGCGAGAGAGAGAGAGAGAGAGGGAGAGAGAGGTGGGGTGGGGTGGGGGGGGCAAGAGAGTGACAGAGTTTGTCACAGAGAGAGAGTGAGTGAGAGATGACGGTTTTGAGAGTGAGAGAGAGAGAGCGCGTGTCAGAGAAATCGAGTGAAAGAGCCATACAGAGAGAGAGAGAGACAGAGAGAGAATGAGAAAAAAAGAGGGACAGAGTGTCCGAGGGAACCAGAGAAAGGGCGAGAGAGACCGACAGAGGGAAAAAATTAGAGCGCGAGCGACAGAGGGTGAGGGACAAAAGACACAGATCTTTCTCTCTCTCTCTCTCTTTCGCGCGGAGGACAGTTCTTTGGTATAAACAATCCACTGAGTGTGTGCGCGTGTGCGTGTCGATGCATGTGTGCGTGTATGTATGTGCATGTGTGTGTGTGTGTCTGTGCGCGAAGTGTAAGCTTTTATTACATGCGACAGCTCTGGGAACACTTTGACAGCCCCTCCCCACCGCCCTCTCAGCCCCCCCCAGCGATGGCCGCCCGGGCCCCCTCCCTGGTGCACGCGGTGTGTGGCTGACTGCAGCAACACGATGCATTCTTTGTTCGTTGACAACAGTTAATTAAAAAATAAATACACCCTCCAGGTAATTCAGGAGCAGGTGGAGGCCATTCAGCCCATCGTCCGACCTGTCCCACCAGTTTATTACTGCCTGGCGGGGGTCGCTTAACCCCATCCCGCTGCTTGTCCAGCTAGGACCACCCTCCCCGTCAGTTAGGGCTTTGGCTCAACAGGATTCCCGGCCCCCAGTGACTGGTCGGCCCTTTGAGACGTCTCAACAATGTGATGAATTGCCATATCAAATGCAATGATTATTGTTATTATTAATGGTTCAGTTGCTGGGGGTGTCTGGGGCACATGCACCTCCCTACACCCCCCACCTTCCCCCTCCCCAACCGTATGAAACATCTCCTGATCTCACTCTGAACCACCTCGCCTCCAAGATTTGCGGCGTTCCTGGTAAAACTGCTGCCCCGAAACTCGTCCACCAGGGGGCAGCACACACCTCCATATCAGTGGCTGTATCCATTAACCCAGGGAACAAACCCACGGCGAAGCACCCAACCTTACAACAATAATAATAATAATTGACACAGCGTCTCATCACGCCTTCGAGACGTCTCAGAGCGCTTCACAGGATACACTGCAGAGTGTAGTGACTGTGTGTTATACCAACAATCCTTACATTTGATACAGCCACGTCCCCACTGACAGCAATGGAGTGAAGGAGCAATTGTATCTGGGGATTGTTGGCCAGGACACCGGGAGAGCGAGCGAGAGAGCGAGGGAGAGCGCTACCACTGAGCCAGGCTGGAGGGGCACTCATCATGGAGGGCGTGCGCTGCCCCCTGGTGGCCGACAATCAATTTGCCTCATCCCCACTGTTCAACCTGTGGATCGAATGGATCCATCCAAGGAGCTTCCTTACCATTGTGCTGTTGATCGGAGCATTGAGTGAGAGGGTCACCGTTCCTGATGTCCTGCCTTCTGGTTCGCCTGAAACCACACCATAATAATTAATATTAACAATAATCCTCGCGTTTGACACAGCGCCTTATCTCATGGTCGAGACGTCTCAAAGCGCTTCACAGGATGCACCGTACCCCCACACCCCCCCCACCCCGCAAACAGTCGTGGATTGAGTCACCAACTTTTTTTTCTTATGGGGAGGGACTGTTACCCCCGGAAAACGATCGGCTAATCGACTAACAACCGCGGTCCTACTGACTGCTGGTAAACAGGTGTGTGTGTGTGTGTGTGGAAACTTGCCCAATGTTTCCCGCTGCCCGGGAATCAAACCCGGGTCCTCTCGCTTGCGAGGAGAGGGCTCTAACCCCTGAGCTACAGGACTGCACAGGTCTGGTGATAGTCTCCCGTCTCTCCACAGCTGTGGAACCAGGCAATTTAGACCGGGGGACTGGCGGGGGAGGAAATCGTAAAAAACACCAAATAAAAGCACCTTCCTTTCCTGAACTTTCATCTGTGTAAAGTGCAGGTGAGGTGGGGGTGAGGGTTGGGGGTGGGGGGGAATATGTGGAATCGCCTCCACTCTTCAAACGCTGGGGGAAGGGGATTTGGGAACGTTGTACTGACCAATGGAACACACAACTCCCACACATCTGGAAACCGCAGAGTGACTGCCATCTGTTTGATGTCTGCCTTTCTCCTGTTGCCTCCCCCCCCCTCCGCCCCCCCCCCCCCGCCCACCCCTCCCATTTGATACAGGGTCTTATCATGTCATTGAGACGTCTCAAAGCTCTTCACAGAATATACTGTAAAGTAGATTAACCGTGTATTTTGTGGGTGAAACACGGCAGCCAATTAATTGTGCCCGGCAGTGTCTACACAAAGAGTCGTGGATTGAATGGCCCAATTTGTTTTTGAGGGATTTTTATCCCCCGGAAAAGCCGCCCACCAATCAGCCAACGACCAGCTTCCGACTTATTGCTTGGTGGAGTGTGTAGTAAGGAAACTTGTCTAAGGATTCCCCGCCCGGGAATCGAACCCGGGTCCTCTCACTTGTGAGGTGAAACTTATTACTTGTTTAAGTGTGAATGCGAGCGACAGAGGAAGGCTGACACATCTGTAGTGAGTGTGTGACTGTGACTGTATGCGAGTGTGTGTGCGTGTGGGTGTGAGTATGAGTGTGTAAGTATGAGTGTGTGTGACTGACTATGAGTGTATGTGTGACTGTGTGTGTGACTGCGTGACCATGAGTATGCGTGTGACTGTGACTGTGAGTGACTGTGTGAGTTTGTGTGTGAGTGACTGTGAGTTTGTGTGTGACTGTGTGTGACAGTGAGTGTTTGTTTGACTGTGTGTGAGTGTGTGAGTTTGTGTGTGACTGTGAGTGACTGTGTGAATTTGTGTGTGACTGTGTGTGACTGTGAGTTTGTGTGTGTGTGTGTGGTTGTGTGACTGTGTGAGTTTGTGTGTGACTGTGTGTGACTGTGAGTGACTGTGTGCGTGTGTGGTTGTGTGACTGTGTGAGTTTGTGTGTGTGGTTGTGTGACTGTGTGAGTTTGTGTGTGACTGTGTGTGACTGTGAGTTTGTGTGTGACTGTGTGAGTTTGTGTGTGACTGTGTGTGACTGTGAGTTTGTGTGTGTGTGTGTGGTTGTGTGACTGTGTGAGTTTGTGTGTGACTGTGTGTGACTGTGAGTGACTGTGTGCGTGTGTGGTTGTGTGACTGTGTGAGTTTGTGTGTGTGGTTGTGTGACTGTGTGAGTTTGTGTGTGACTGTGTGCGTGACTGTGTGTGTGTGAGTGTGTCCGTGCCACCTGCCGGTACATATCCAACACACATTATTTAACACAAGGAAGGTTTGAATGCGATCTCTCTGCTATTGAGAACTTTTGATCCTTTGATCTTCAAAAGAGGAAGAGAGAGAGAGAGAGAGAGAAGGGGGAGCGGACGCGCGGGAGGGGGGGGGGGCGGAGAGAGGGCGATGGATCCGGGTGGGAACGCTGAACACACAGAGACCGGCACAGGTGCTGGAGTGAGCAACTACAAAGGCTTTGGAACAGGAACTGGCAGCTTATAATTAAATGGATTTACTTATTAGATGTGGGGATGGATATGTCCTTTGGAATGCTGTCGGGAGGTGGGCCCGGCACAGCGTTCCGGGACAGGTTTCCGGAGACCGAGGGAGATGAGTGAAGGGAGGGAGGGACCAAAGTAATCATAATAATCCTCGCACTTGATGTCGCGCCTTATCACGTCACTGGGACGTCTCAAAGGATACGCTTCACAGGATACGCTGTAAAATGGAGTGACTGTGTATTTTGCGGGCTAGGCGCGGCAGCCAGTGTAGAGGTGTTTTGTGGGCGAGGGCGAGGATCTTGAGGTCAACGTGTCGGGGAACGGGAACCAAACAGCCTTACGGTGAATGAGCAACTTGGCCTGGGGGGCGGCCGGGGAAGAGAAGGTCCCAACACTCCCCCGAACCCTTCTCTTGTCCCCCCACATCTCCGCGGGATCTTTAACACGAGGCTGAACAGGGCCCAGACGGGGAGAGGATGAGGCTTAACGTCTCATGTGACAAGTCAGCTTTCTCCCAGTTGGAGCTGAAACGAATGGAGGAACAGGCTCAAGGGGCTGAATGGCCTCCTCCTGCGATGCTATGTTCCCCCAGCACAGAATCGTGCTGGGGGAGTGGGGGGAGGGGGGGGGAATCAGCCTAGACTGTGAGCTCAAAGCCCACCGCCTGGGGAGAGGGGAAGGCGGGAGAGGGTACGAATCCACAACCTACTGCTCCAAGAGGTGAGAGGGGGGGAGAGAGCGAGAGAGAGAGAGAGAGCGAGACAAGCCCCGGGGCTGACACCTGTTGACAAAACAAAACTTTTTATTGAAACGCGGGATAATGAACGCTGTAATTTTGGAGCTGAAAACCACAGGGGGGGGCGGGGGGGGGGTTTCTTTTAAAAAGCTTCAGGAATCTGTTTCAACTTGTACGGAGAAATAATCAGACACAAACTCAACGGGGCAGCTGGTGGGGATCAGTTTGGGTGATGGCTTGTGGTTTTGTGATGACTTTACTCGCGTTCTGGAAGACCGATCAATACAGTGGAATTCTACTATACGTGGGGGGAGGTGGGGGCCTGGGGGTGGGAGTTGTGGGGGGGGGGTGGGTGGGGGGGCAATCAGCACTGCAACAGGGGCACAAGTTGCCCATATCTGCAGAAAGACACATGAATTAGATAACCGCGGGGTCCGGTAGGGCAGCGATCTGCCCGCCCGTCCCTCAAGCAAGCGAGTGGACCCAGCTTCGATCCCCGGCAGGAACTCGGCGTCATAACACGCTGTCAAGCGTAGTGACTGTGTATCTCTCGTAGGCGAACACGGCAGCCATTTTGCACGGCAAAGCCCTGCCCCCAAACAGCCGCGTGAGTTAAGTGAACGGCCGATTTGTCGGCCAGGATACCGGGGGGGTGGGAGGAAGAGAGAGAGAGAGAGAGAGAGAGCATGAAACTACCCCCACCTTCTTCTCTTGCTCTCGTCCAAAGGAACTGTGAGCTTAAACAGTCCAACACCTGGGGATGGTGGGGGCAAGGAGGTTGAACTCATTTCCTCTGACCCCTGAGCGTGACTGACTGAGCCAGGCTGGGGGGGTGGGGGGGGGGGGGGGGGACTGACCCTAAGGCCTAATTACCTCACCTGCTGTTCTCCGGCTCTTGGTTATCAGCTCCCACCTGTCCACTCACTCACTCAGTCAGTCAGTCAGTCAGTCACTCACACCTTGACCTGCCAACCACCTAAACAGCCCACAGAAATATGTTTATCCATCGCTTTTGGCCCCCGATTCTCTCCCATCTCCCTCTCTCCCCCCCCCCCCACCCCGATCTTGGCACAAAGGTTGAGAAGATTCCAATGGCGGGGACTGTGAGATGGCGGCTTTGGGCCAAACTGTTCTGCGGAGGGGTGGGGGGGCGCTGTGTAAATGCCAGCGGTGGTTGGTTGGATGTTGTTATGGCGGCTCTGACCTCTTGGCGGTGGGGAAGTATCTGGAGCAGGAGAAGCCGTCCCAGGCACAGTAAGGGTCTCGCGCGAGGCAGCACTCGGCGCAGGCCCGGCCGTACACGTCACAGCGGTGCAGGGGGAGTTGCGAGACCCCCGCCGACGATCCCAGGTACAACTGTTGCTGTGGCAATGAGAGAGACACAGAGAGAGACAAGAGAGGGAGGGAGTGAGAGAGTGACCGCCCGGATAGGTCCCAACCTCCCTCCCAACCGCCTTTACACAGACTCTACAAAGGTGTGTTCACAAAGTCCTGTCGCGGAGGGCTGGGCTCGATTCCCCACATTCCCTTACCAAATATGTCACCTTGGGGCCAGTTCAGCTCCGAGGAGACCCCAATACCTCACTCACCACCCCCACCCCCCTCCCCCACCACATTGGGTCGACTTTGTGACCGTGTGGTTGTAAGTGGGGGTGTAGGATATAGTTCTATGTGGTCGGCTGGTGTCCCCAGTTCCTACCTGTTTGGTGGAGATCTTCAGTGTGGTGATGGGAATCGGGTCCTGCAAGACAAAGGCATTGAACATAGCTAACGCTCGCACAGCAATCAGAGACCCCTGTATTGGGGGGGGGGGCGCGGGCAGGGGGGCCCTGTGTTCAAAGAGGGGGTGTGGGGGTGAGAGGGATTTTGGGGGAAAGACCTCAGCTGCTCTGTCAGTATTGAACCATCCATTGCATTCTCACACTTTCTGGGAGAGGGCACGGGAGAGGGGGAGAGGGGAGGGTTAGCATAAACTTGAGTGGGGGGAGGAGTGCGGACGGAGCAGTGAGGTGAAGCTCGGGAAGGGGGGGGGGAATTAGGGGGGGGGGGGGGGGGGGGCGAAAGCTCACCCTCAACACGGCCACTTCCTCCAACAGGACCTCCTCAAGGTCTCTCCAAGTCTCCCTGGGGATTGACACCACCTTCAGCACCGTGCCCACGTCTGTGAGGGATGAAATCACACGTCAACGTCGTTCCTCTCAACACTACTCCCTCACCGTTACTCTGTGGTGCGGCCCCCATAGCTCAGTGGTTAGAGCGCTCGCCTCACAAGCGCGAGGACCTGGGTTCGATTCCCGGGTCAGGGCGAAATGTTGGGCGAGTTTCCTCACTCCCCCACACACACACACGCCTCTGTTTACCACCAGAAAGTAGGTTGCAAGTCGTATTGGCGGATCTCTTTCTGGGGATAATCTCTCAAAAAATATTATCATATATTTGGTCACTCAATCCACGGCTGTTTGCGGGGACGCTGTTGTGCGCAATTGGCTGCCGCGTTTCGCCCACAAAATGTGCAATCAATTCACTCTACAGTGTATCCTGTGAAGCGCTTTGAGACGTCTTCTCGACGACGTGATGGGGCACTGTATCAAATGGGAGTATCATTAGTATTATTATTATTCAGCGCCTTATCACATCAGGAGGGACGTCTGAGTGTGCTTCGCAGGATTGTACTGTGAAGCGTAGTGACTGTGTGTGGTCGTGGGTAGCTGATTTGCGCACAGCGATGTCCCCACGAAGCGAATCAAAACTTGTATCGGGGTGGGGAGGGGGGGGGTATGTCTACCATTTGTTTTTGGGGGGGTGGTGGGGGGGTGGCAATTCTACGCTCAGAGCAGGTGGGCATTCAGGCGCTCCGAAAGTCTTAATATTTAAGGTGGCGCCAGGAAATTCCTCAAACCGGGATTAATCTGGAAGGTATTTCCACTCCCCACACCCCACCCCCACCCCACACCCCCACCACTGGGGAGTCCTTAAAAATTAAGAGCCGTGCGGAAGAATTCTCAATGCTTAAAATGTGCCCCCACCCCCCGACTGAGATTCCATGGAAGTTTTGCGCTGTTAAATCATTCCATTCGCCCATGTGGCAAATTCGCTGCGGAATAAAGCCCCGTCCCTCGGGATCCGGTGTCAGCCTTTACAGTGAATCCCGTGAAGCGCTTTGAGACGTCTCGACGACGCGATGTGGCGCTGTATCAAACGGGAGGGATCGTCACTGCATTATTGTCGTTAATGCTGAATTTTAGGGTCAGGTTAAAAAAAAAAAGCCCCCCCCCCACCCACCCCTCCCACCCCTCCCTTATCTCCCCGCCCACCCACCGAAAAAAAAAAAAAAGTAGGTTGGAGAGAACAGAAAGCTTTTGGTTGTGGGGCAGACATTGAGATCGCAGCTGAAACATGAAACGTGCTGCTGTAGGAAACATCTGGGCGAGATCACAGAGCTAATGCTCGCCCTCGCTGGTTCCGCTTGGCTCGGTACAGAATGGAAAGCTTTCTGCCACTTGCCCTAATCTCCCGAAAGGCAGCGAGGATTGGGCTCCCAAATTGGATTTTTAACGCTGGGCTGAAAACAGATACTTCTCTGGTTCTGGCGATGGTGGGAGGGGGGGGGGGGGACGGGAGGGGGGGGGGGGGTGCGGAAGGTAGTGAGGGGGGACAGGGGTCAACAGAACTAATCAGATAGCTGGCACTGAGCCAAACTCATGCTCGAGAGTGAAAGAGAGACAGAAACACACACACAGAGAAAAAGGTAGAGAGACAGAGAGATGTAGAGTGGAAGATACAGAAAGAGAGAGAGAGGGGGAAAGATAGACAGAAAGAGAGAGGGTTAGATGTGTTTTTTTTTTGGTCAGCCGGGTGTCCGGCACATGCGGAAAGCCGCTCACTGTGCTTAAGAGTCTCTAAACCAAGCTGAGATTTCCAGGCCTCCCACCCACACGTGTAGAGAGAGAAAGATACGGAGAGAGAGAGAAAGCAAGAGAGAGAGAGAGAGAGAGAGATAAACAGAGAAAGAGAGTGATCGAGAAAAACGACAAGACGATAGAAACGATAGAAACACGGAGAGAACTAACAGAGAGACAACCAGAGAGTGAGAGAGAGAGATAAACAGAGAGAGAGAGATACTGTCTCCAGCTCTGGGGTGGCGGGAGGGATGTGTGGATGGGATGGGGAGTGATGGAGAGAGAGCTGGGGGTCGGGGGTGGTTAAGGTTAGGGTTAGGATGAGGTTACATGGGCCTCCGATAATAACAATAATCCTTGCATTTGTGTCGTCTCAAAGCGCTTCACAGGATATACTGTAAACTGAAGTGACTGTGTACTTTGTGGGGAAGGGCGATGTGGGATGAGGGGTAGTGAGTGGTGGATGAGGTTAGATTACCTGTACCTATGATGGGATGGGGAGAGGAGGGGTTGACGGGGAGAGGAGGGGTAGGAGGAGGAGATGAGGTTACCTGATGGGGTTGGGGTGGGGGAGCTTTACCCGTGTCTTTCATGGGGGAGGGGTTGGGATTGAGGGGAGGGCTTGGGGTTGAGGGAGGGAGGGAGGGAGGGAGGGGAAGTATTACCTGTGCCAATGAACATGACGTTGTACTGTCCGTCCTCAGCCTCCACTCTGTCCACCACGATCTGTGTGAACTGATAGTCCACGTCAGTCTTGATGATGATGGGCCGGTTGTTGATGGGCAGCACCGAGTTGTACATGGCTGGGTGGCTCCGGGCGAAGGTGATCACGTCGTCGGGAAGGTCCTTGGTGGACTGGAAGCCTCCGAACGTGTTACTGGGACACTGTCAGCACAGGCCAGGGCTCAGTCACGCCGGTCACATCAACACATCGTATCATACATAACGTCCCTCACCCGGGGTAACCCGCGACACTAGCGGAGGGAGCATGACCGCCCCCAATCCAGGGGTGGGGGAGAGGGGGGGGAAGTGACCCTAAGCGGGTGGGATGTGTTGGCAGCACTGGGGGTTGGGGTGTTCCGTGTGCGGAGGTCTCGGCAGCACTGGGTGAGGGTGAGGATCCATGTACTCACCGTGCCCGGCCGTGGGTAGGGCACTCGACCCTGAAACGGCACCCACTGGTACGTGGGTCCCTCCCGGTGAGCGAAGGGCCCCAGGAAAACCCTCCTGATGTCGGACATGCTGTACATGCACACAGCAGAGCCTCGGAAAATGTTACTGCGGGAGGAGAGGAGTTAACGGTCAGGAACGCCCCAACTCACACCCCTGGCCCACACACAACACCCCCCCTCACACACACACACACACACACACACCCTGACCTTCCCCACTCTCAGCACCTCCCCACACATCCACATCTCCGCACGACATAGCCCCACCTTTCACTTCCGCACCACCACAACTCCCCCCACTATCTGCCCCCCCCACCACCACATTTCCCCCAATCTCCTCGCATTGCGTGTCCATCTCTCTACTCCAGTGAAGCCCCAGTTCCCTCCGCATCCTCTCCCCCACCCTCACCTCCACCCTCGCACGCTCGTCTAATTCCTTCCAGGACCCTCCATCTAACACACCAACGGAAACGGGTGCGATGGGTGAGGATGGGCGCAGAGGGGGGAGTCGGGGCAGGTGACTGTGGTTACCTGGAGGTGGTGAAGATGCCATAAATAAAAGGATTCTTCGGGTCTTTGGAGTTCATCAGGTACACGGACTCTGAGAGACAAGCAGATAATAATAATAATAATAGTCCTTGCATTTTGATACAGAGCTTTATCAAGTCCTCGAGACATCTCAAAGCTCTTTGCAGAATATAATTGACGACTGTTTGTGGGACGCTGCTGTGCCAATTGCTCACAAGAGTGTCCCAGCCGCGGATTGAGTGACCAACCTATTATTATTATTTTTTTGGAGGGATTATTACCCCCAGAAAAGCAATCCCCCAATCGACTAACAACCGGGTTCCGCTTACAGTCGGTAAACAGAGGCGCGTGTGTGCGTGTGTGTGTGTGTGTGTGTGGAGTGAGGAAACTTGCCTAAGGTTTGGCCCTGCTCTGGAATCAAACCCGGGTCCTCTCGCTTGCGAGGCGAGGGCTCTAACCCCTGAGCTACAGGACTGTAGATTGTGCTGGAGTTGCAGCAGGCTGGGGAGTGTGTGAATTTCCGCCGCCCGTGTTAATGATCACATCACAGGTCCCCTCCAGTACTTACGGAGCTCGTCGAAGTGGGTGTCGATGCCATTGAGACCCGGTACCGAACACAGCAAGCGGGCTTTCAAGAAGGTCACCCATTTATTGACCAGACTCCTGTGTCCTCCAAAGTCATTCTGCCAACACGGAGAAGATTTATTACTAACGATAATAATCCTCGGATGCGACACAGCTCCTTATCACGTCGTTGAGACGACTCAAAGAGCCTCACAGGATACACTGTAAAGTGAATTGACTTGCGGGCGAAACGCGGCAGCCGATTGAACGCAGCAGCGTCCCACAAACAGTCGAGGATTGAGCGGCCAATTTTCTTGGGAAGGTTTATTACCCCCAGAAAGCGATACCCCAATCGACTAACAACCGGGTTCTTACTCACTGTTGGGTGTGTGTGATCAGTAAGGAAACTAGCCTAAGGTTTCGCCCTGGGAATCGAACCCAGGTCCTCTCGCTTGTGAGGCGAGCACTCTAACCACTGAGCTACAATAATCCACATGAGTTAATTTCAAGGGGGGCGCGGGCGGGGGGAAGAGGAGGGGGTCAGGACAAATGCTGAGGGTTCGTACATCATGACTGTGATTGATACAAGGTTTGAGCGTGAGTAAACGCCGCAATTTACAATTCCCCCCATACAGAGTAACTGGTAACAGATAGTCGAGGAGAGACTTCAAAGCTTCAGTGGAGGTCGGGGGGGGGGGAGAGAAGTGGGGGGGGAGAGGCGCGGAGGGAGAGGTTGTGGGGGTTCAGTCTTCCAATGCGTTTCCTCTCCTGTAGTTTTATGGTACAGTGGTGCCCGTTATAGCAGAAACTGTAATTAGTAACAGCCCACTGTAAATCTCCACTACATTATTCTCTGTTCATCTCCCCCCCCCCACCCCTCCCCCCCACCCCACGCACACAGGATCGCTCTGATATCACAACACAGCAATGTAAAAGTTGGCCAAAGACCATTTCTTTTAGGTCATCCGGGTGTCCGGCACACACGGAAACCCATCACCGTTGCTCAAGAGTCTCCAAACCCAACTGAGGATATTCCAGGCCTCCCATCCCACACCTGGCAACGCCGGACAGAGATTGTTGGAATGGAACCCGCGCTCTCTCTCTCTCTCTCTCTCTCTCTCTCTCCCCCCACGGAGGGACACATCCTGCTTACCTAATTCCGGAGAGTATTAGGTGCAGTTTGGCAAGAGCCAAGGCTACGGGGGGGTGGGAGAGAGGGTGGGGTGAGAGCCCAGAGGGTGTGTTGGGGGGTAACTAGTCTAACCATCTAAACCCACATATAGCTTGGCCATTGAGAGAGAGAGAGAGAGAGAGAGAGAGCGCTGTCTGGAACACTGCAGACCCTCTTGGCTCAGGAACTGACCAGGAGAGGCCTGGCCTCGATTCTGCCATTTTGTCCCCTTGGAAGTTTAAGGTCTCATTAAGTTTAAGGATGGAGTATTGGCATTGGGAGCGTCAGCAGCTCAAAGGGCGGGAGTGGGGGGGGGGGGGGGGCACTAACCCACACAAGTGGGTGAGCGAGAGGCGAGAGAGAGGGGGCAGGTGACTGAGCCCGAGGCTGACGTTGGGGCACCGACGGGCCGGATTTAGTGTAATTAAGCGGATGTGACTGCGTTACAGACCGGATTGTAACGTGACTCCCGCTAATTGGAAGCAGCAGTCGCCACTCAGCCCCCGAAACCCACACAGATACCTGAGCCAGACACGGTGGTGATGCCACCAGAAGCCGGGAGCCACTCGAATTCCACCCGGTCTCAGTCTGAGGGCACCGTCGCGCCTCTATATTTAAGGTGGCGCGGAATCGTGGGGTGAGATATATCCCTTTCTCTCCCAACAACAACAACAACAACAGTTTACATTTGATTGCTGTGATGGCCCCCGGAGGCTCACCTTGCAGACCTGCCCGATCCTGGCGTACGTTGCCTTTCCGGAATACTCCCCGTCCAAGGCGTTTTCCCGGAAAAAGAAATATATTTTGTCGTCCTCCGGATTGTCGCTCTCCGGGATGAGCTGCACGTGGACAAACCGCGGCTCTGCACGAGAGGAGACAGCGGAGATCAAACTATAGGGACGTCAGCATCATCGTCACCGTCATCATCATCACCAGTATCATCACCACCATCATCATCACCAACACCAGCATCATCATCATCAACACCATCATCACCATCATTATCAACACCATCATCATCAACACCACCACCATCATCATCATCATCATCACCAACACCATCAACACAGCATCATCACCACCACCATCACCAACACCATCATCATCACCAACACCAGCATCATCATCATCAACTCCATCATCACCATCATCATCAACACCATCATCATCAACACCATCATCGTCATCATCAATACCATCATCATCATCATCAATACCATCATCATCATCAACACCATCATCATCATCAATACCATCATCATCAACAACACCATCATCATCAGCATCATCATCATCAACACCATCAACACCATCATCACCATCATCATCAACACCATCATCATCAACACCATCATCACCATCATCATCAACAACACCATCATCATTAACAACACCATCATCATCAGCACCATCTTCATCATCATCATCATCATCACCAGCATCATCAACACCATCACCACCACCAGCATCATCAACACCAGCATCATCATCATCGCCAACGTCATCATCAATATCAACAACGTGATAGTAGTAATAAACCTGTTCCCGGTGTTCGCCCACTCACCGTTCAGCCACCGGGAGTCGTGCTGCTCGGTCCTGATGGGGTGATGGTGGCCGAGGGTGCGGAAGATGGCGTAATCCCGGCTCATAAAGTCTGCAGCCGTCCCAGCGTAGAGTTCCCCGTCTGTGTGTGTGTGTGTGTGTGTGTGGTGGGGGGGTTGGGGGAGAGAACAGAGGTCATACCAACGGCAACAACTTGCATTTATATAGTGCCCTTCACACAGGATAGCGTCCCAGAGCGCTTTCAGGGTGAGGAAGTCCCTTCAACCCATCTGATCTCATCCCTCCAGAAATCCCACCTCACCGTCTCCCACCATATTACCCCCTCTGGGTAAAGGAATATTTACTGGTGTCAGTTGGTGCAACTCAAAACCCCTCACACAACCTTCTGCCAAATCAGTGTCCGATTTAAAAGAATTTCAACGCTTTTAGGAGGAAATTAATGCAGACACGAGGGGAAGGGATTAGAGGGTTGTGGGAGGGAGGGAGCGAGTAAGTGAGAGAGAGAGAGAGAGAGTGTGTGGTTGTGTGCTTGGTGGTTGAGAGCCGAGGCAGACTTCAAATCAATCCCTTTTTAATAAAAAATGATTTAAAATCCACCTATTAATTTTTTCAAATGATTAATTACTCAACGATTAAACGCAGTGGGGGAGCGGAGCGAGAGCGAGAGAGAGAGAGCGAGCGAGAAAATATATATGTATATATTCATTGCCATTCGGGGCCAAAAAGATTAAAAAGGATATTTTACAAAACGCAAAGCGACGGGGAGGAGGGAATATCCATTATTAATGGCTGGAAATGAGAAATTGCGACTTTGATATGATTGGAACATATTTCAATGGAATGAATTTGGGAGCAGATTCCAAGGCACTTTATTGCTGGGCCATTTATCTTCAGGCTCAGTTCGGAGAAGGGGGGGTGGGGGGGGAGAGTGGAATCCAGAGCAAGGCATCATCTTAACAACATCATCATCATCATCATCATCATCATCAAGGCATACTGGGCATCACCTTAAAATTAGCGCCAGGGCATTTAGGAGTGAAATCAGGTGCAATTTTTCACCCAAAGGCTCAGTGGGTGTCTGGAACCCTCTCCCTCCCCCAAAAGGCTGTGGATTATGGCTGTGGATCCATTCACATTTTCGAGCCAGAGGTGGAGATGTTTGTTAGGTCAGGGGTTCAGGGGGTACGGGGCAAAGGCGGGTAATTGGAGTTGAGATACAGATCAGCCGTGATCTAATGGAATGATGGAACAGACTCGAGGGGCTGAATGGCCTCCTACTGTTCCTATGTTCCCACGATAGCTAAGGAACACCGAAAACCTTTCCTCTAAAACCAAGTCCCTGTAATACAGGACTGTGGTGTCAGACTCCACTATGACACTTCGCTGTGTCAGACACTCACCTATTAAAAGAGACGTCGTCAGCAGCTTTGGGTCATACGGGCTCTTACCCCGACCGTTCTCTATGTGAGCCGTGTCCAGTCTGAACACAATGTCCTAGTAACAGCGAGAGAGAGAGAGAGAGAGGGGGGAAAAGTAATAATAATAATTATTCTTGCCTTTGATATATCGGACAAATGCATGGGGTGGATGGGTGGGGGGAAGAGGGGGAATTGGCAGAATATAATATAATGAATAATAATCCTTGCATTCGATAGCCTTATCGCATCATCGAGACGTTGAAAGCGCTTCACAGAATATACTGCAAATTGTGGTGACTGTATATTTTGTGGACGAAACGCGGCAGCCAATTGCGCACAGCAGCGTCCCCACAAACAGTCGTGGATTGAGTGACCACTGAATTTTTTTGGGGGGGAGGGGGTGGGGAATTATTATCCCCGGAACGTGAGTAAGAAACCTTGCCTAAGGTTTCACCCCACCCGGCCTGAAATCAAACCCAGGTCCTCCGGCTTGCGAGGCGAGGGCTCTAACCACTGAGCTACAGGATAGGGTGAAACATGCCGACGTCAGGCTCAAAGCCTCTGTGGCGCAGCACATCTCCGTAAGATATGAGAGCCTGAAACGACCTTGAGTGATGGATTCAGGCAGGAATGATGGCATTTCGATTGCGGTGCAGAATTGGCTCCTGTTAAAGACTATTGACCTCAAGGTCCCCGGTGACTGAATCCAATTGTCTCCGAGCTCGGCTGATACCAATCCTCTTCTCATCACATTTGGCTGGGATGTCAGGTGTAATGTATAGCCGATGCCTTAACTCACCGCCCTCAGCCGAGGATTGAAAGACAGCCTTTTTCTATCTCAGCAAATCCTCAAGAGGTTTCGAAACCTCTCACACAGCCTCAGCCTTAAAGGTTGTCTTTCACCCCTTAACGTTTGAGGAGAGTACAACTGGGAATCGATTAAGGCGTCACAATTGTTGAACGGGTTAATTAAGAGCGTGCGTGCCCGTGTGGGGGTGGGGGTTGGGGGAGAGAGAGAGAGAGAACGCTGTCTTTAGATGAGATGTTAATAATAATAATCCCCGCATTTGACACAGCGCCTTATCACGTCGTTGAGACGTCTCAACAGCGCTTCACAGGATACGCTGTAAAGTGCAGTGACTGTGTGCTTTGTAGGCGAAACGCGGCAGCCAATTGCTCCCAGCAGCATCTCCCCCCCCCCCCCCACACACAGCCTTGCATTTGATAGCCTTATCGCATCGTCGAGACAGAATATACTGCAAATCGCTCCCCCCCCCCACCCACCCCCAGTGCTACACTGGAGCATTAGCCTGGACTGGGAGTCGGAGAGAGAGAGAGAGAGAGAGCGGTGTGGTGTGCAGAAGGAGGAAATGAAACAACTTATTTATTTGATTTGGGGCTGACCAGATGGGCTATGGGGGTGGGGGGGGGTGGGCAGGGGAGGGGGTTGGGGGTGAGTTTGATTGCTACGTTCCTATCTGCCTCATTTCCCTCTGTGTAAATAGCCATGAATCTGCCGTGTTACCACACAGAGAGATGCAATGAGAGGGAAAAATGTGCGGGGAGGTTGATGAATATTTCGGGGTTTGAGAAAATAAATAGTCTGGTAACTCGTTCAATCTGGGTTTGCGGAGGAAATGGATCTGCGAGGAAATAGAATAATGAGCTCCATACGTCACTGTAATGAGAGTCTCAACATCCCTGGCAATATTCTGCCCGGAGTCAGACTTCAGAGCCCGCTCACCCTCAAACTCGCTCTCTCGCTCGTTCACCCTCTCTCCTCTCCTCTCCATTCCCGGGCGGAAAAATAAAATTAATAATAATAATTATAATCATATCGTTGACACCTGTCCTGTCCGCGCTCTCTGCTCAGCGGGCTCCCGCCTGCTCGCTCCATGTCCCCCTGCCCGGCTCGCTCTACCATCGGCGGTCAAGCCTTCAGCCTCTCTGCCTCCCGCCCTTTGGACCTTCATCCCACAGTCCCTTCGCCTCGCCCTCGCCTCCTTCAAGGCCCATCTCAAGACCTTCCTCTTCGACCGCTCCGTCTTCGGTCACCCTCCTACCCCCCCACCCCCCACGCCCTCCACCCCCTCCTGATCCCAACCCCCAGCTCGGGTCCAGAGCACTGACTGTCCAGCGCCTTGGGACGTCCTCCCGATGTGAAGGGCGCGGTGTAACTGTCATGTGTTGCTGAGACGCCTCAAAGCGCTTCACAGAGGATACTGTGTGAGTCACAGAATGACTATATTTTGTGGAGACGCTGCTGTGTGCAATCGGCTGCCGTGTTTCGCCCACAAAATATCCGGTCAATTCACTTTACGGTACGTCCTGTGAATCGCTTTGAGACGTCTCAATGACTTGATAAGGTGCTTTTCCACATGCAAGGATTATTATGATTATTATTATTATCATCTGAAGGATGGCGTGTCTGACAGCCGTTATGAAATGCTATGTTGCTGTATGTTCCGCACTAAAAATTAAATGTGTTTTACTGAAACAAGGCCTCCCCCTGTGCTGTAAACATTCAAATGTTCTGTAAATACTTCCAAGATAAACTATCGTAAAGGTTACGAGGAGAGAGCAGGCGAATGGGGGTCAGAGCGGAGAGCTCCAGCGGGGGAGCGAACCCCAGCACAGACACGATGGGGAGAGAGAGAGAGAGGGGGAATGGGGGTCAGAGCGGAGAGCTCCGGTGGGGGAGCGAGCCCCAGCACAGACGATGACCGCCCTCTGGTGAGCAGTGTGGAGCTTCTGTGGTTCTGTGCCAAGGTTCAATGTGATTAGCCCAGTTTGTGCAGTAATCACAGCAGGAGGCTGGTGCCTCTGATCAAGTCTTCTGTTGAGCCGTGGGCCTGGCGTCTGCGAGGGAATGAGCGCAGCCCCCAACCTACACACCACGCGGCCAAATTACTGTATTCCCAAACCGGAATTCCGTCTCCTCAACCAGGAATCTCCTCGGCATTCTCATCCACCGGCTCCACCGGTTACAGGGGTAATGACCCATCCCCCCCCCCCCCCCACCCTCACCCACCACCCCCCCAAAAAAACCATCAGGTCACTCAATCCACGGCTGTTTGTGCAATTGCCTGCCGTGTGTCACACACCAAATACACAGTCACTTCACTTTACAGCGTATCCGGTGGAGCCAGCGAGGGGGGAGGAGGGTAATGGAGGTTTCAGGTTACCTGTGACTGGTGACCGATCTCGATGTAGGCACAGATTGGGTGAAAGGCTCCCGTCCCACAGGCATACAGGTGAGTGTGGTTATAGAACTCCAGAACCCGCACATAGTTGGCACATTCCTTCTGTGTGAGACGGGGAACGAGAGAGAGAGAGGGAGAAAGAGAGAGAAATAGAGAGAAAGAGAAATGGAGAGGGAGGAATAAAGATTGAAATATATATAGTATATTAATATATATGAGGAATAGAGAGAGGGGGGAAATGGAGAGAGAAATAAGGAAATATGAATACATGTGTGGACAGAGAATGAGAGCGAAAGAGAAGGAAGGAAGGAAGGAAGGAAGGAAGGAAAGAAAGAAAGAAAGAAAGAAAGAAAGAAAGAAAGAAAGAAAGAAAGAAAGAAAGAAAGAAAGAAAGAAAGAAAGAAAGAAAGAAAGAAAGAAAGAAAGAAAGAAAGAAAGAAAGAAAGAAAGAAAGAAAGAAAGAAAGAAAGAAAGAAAGAAAGAGGAAACGAAAGAGGAAACAAAAGAGGAAACGAAAGAGGGAACGAAAGAGGGAATGAAAGAAGGAACGAAATAGAGAAAGAGAAATATAGAAGAGAAAAATATAGAGAGGAGTGGAGAAAGAAACAAGAGAGAGAGAAAGAGAATTAGAAAGCGAGTCAGAAAGAGAGAGAAAACACACAAAAAAAAATCCGTTAGTTCCAGAAACTTCTGAAAGTTTTCGCACGAACAATATTGTCCAAATTCCACCCCTGGCATCACCCAACCCATCCCCACACCCCTCCCTCCATCCCTCCCAGGCCCCTCTCTCCCCCACCCCCCCACCCTCTCCCCCACCCCACCCCACCCACCCTCTCTCCCCCACCCACCCACCCTCGCTCCCCCCCACCCTCGCTCCCCCCGCCCCCCCTCTCTCCCCCCCCCACCCTCTCTGCCCCCCCACCCTCTCTCCCTCACCCACCGCCCCTGCCAATTTGTCTCTCTCTTTGCGCAGCGGGACATTGTGAATTCCAGAAGCTTCCGTCTCGCTGTGAGAGTGGTCCGGTACAGCTCCCCCTGGCCTGGCCTGGCCTGGCCTGGACACAGAGCACCCGGTCAGAGACACACTGTCAGAGCCCAGGGTGGGTGTGAGCTCACGCTCGCTCACAGCTAACACAACAACCACCTCAAAGACACCACGTTCCCGGCTTTGGAACCCCTCCCCCCAAAAAAAAACCATTTGCTTCCTTTATTTCCGCAAACAATTTCACACATTGTTCCCAAAAACGCCATTTGTCCCAACCTGACCGTGTTTATACTCTACACATCTCCCTCCTCTATCCCCCTCTCCCCCACCCCTCTATCCCCCTCTCCCCCACCCCTCTATCCCCCTCTCCCCCACCCCTCTATCCCCCTCTCCCCCACCCCTCTATCCCCCTCTCCCCCACCCCTCTATCCCCCTCTCCCACACCCCTCTATCCCCCTCTCTCTATCCCCTCTTCCGTTTCCCTCTCCTTCACGGATATTTGCGAGGACCTCGCTGTGGGCAAATTTGGCTGCTGCGTTCGCCTACAAAACACACAGTCACTACGCCTTACACTTTTACAGTGAAATCCCCTGAAGCGCTTTGAGACGTGCAGCTGACGTGAAAGGCGTGGTAAGGATTATTACTTATTACTAAGTATTACTTCTTACAACGTTTACGACGTTGTAAGGAGCCCCTTTTTTTTTCCTGAACAAGAACCCAAAGCCGAGAGAGAAAGAGAGAGAACGAGACAGAGAACGAGAGAGACAGAGAGGACCCTGGAGTTTATTGAGGGGTTGGGCGGAGAGGATTGAGTAGGTAACACACAGAAATGTCCCCTGGGCCCCAATATAAGGTCGGTGAGTGATTTGCCAGCGTCGGACATGAGATCTTCACCCGCTTAAAACAACACAGCACATCTGTGTCAACATGTTCTACACAGGAGCCGGTTGGGTGAGAAGGAGGGACAGCCATTTGGTCTCTGTGTGATCGCACTCCGAGTTAATTGTCAATCACCTTCAGTGTGTCAGCCTGAGGCTCAGTCACTTTGCGCTCTCGCCTCCGAGCCCGAGTTAACTCAACACTGTGGGTTCGAGCCCCAGATTAAGAGCACTCTGAGCTCGCAGTCTAAGATGACACTCCAGGGTAGGGCTGGGGGGTGGGGAGTGGGGGTGGGGAGTGCGGGTGGGAGCGAGAAATCTTCTGCAGCGTCGGATGAGACGTTAACACTCACTCCCCGTCTGCCTGTTCAGGGGGATGTTAAAGATTCCGCGGCTTGGGAAAAGAGGAGACTCTCTCCCTCTCTCTCTCTCTCTCTCTCTCTCCCGGTGTCCTGGCCGACAATTCCCCCCTTCCCCCAAAATAAAATTTGGTCCCTCGCTCCAGGGACTGTCTGTGGGACCCTGTGACACCCAACTTGGCTGCTGTGTTTCGGCCGGAAAAATATAGTCACTCCACTTTACAGAGTATCCCGTGAAGCACTTTTGAGGCGTTCCCCCCCATCCCATGGGGAGGGGTGGGGGAGAGAGAGAGAGAGAGAGAGAGAGGGGGAGCATTTGGCAAGAAAATGCACCGAAAGGACATTAAATTCTCTGAATCAAGTTTGAGGAGCATTTGGATGGAGCCTCCCTCCCTCCCTCCCTTCCTGCCCCACTTCCTCCCCCCACCTCCCCCCGCCCCTTCCCCCCACTCCGAGCGTTCCCTCAGTAGCTGCGGTCGCAAGACAATCTCTGTCAATCCCAGAGAATTATTTTCCAGCTCATAGAGCTATCCAAACACACGCTGTATAAAGCACACCCGATCCTTTTGAAGTGCAGCCGGGCAGGGAGGGCTCTGAACAAATACTGCTCCGTCAATGGCTTCCTGCTTCATTCACATCCATCCCTCTCTCGCCCTCGCCCTCGCCCCCGGGCTTTGCTGTGTTGGTCACCGGGTGTCTGACACACTCGGAAACCCGTCACCGTGACCGGCCGGGTATCTGACACACACGGAAACCTGTCACCGTGACCAGCCGGGCGTCTGACACACACACGGAAACCCGTCACCGTGACCAGCCGGGTGTCTGACACACACGGAAACTGTCACCGTGACCAGCCGGGCGTCTGACACCCACACACGGAAACCCGTCACCGTGACCAGCCGGGTGTCTGACACACACGGAAACCCGTCACCGTGACCGGCCAGGTGTCTGACACACACACGGAAACCCGTCACCGTGACCGGCCGGGTGTCTGACACACACGCGGAAACCCGTCACCGTGACCAGCCGGGTGTCTGACACACACGGAAACCCGTCACCGTGACCAGCCGGGTGTCTGACACCCACGGAAACCCGTCACCGTGACCAGCCGGGTGTCTGACACACACACAGAAACCCGTCACCGTGACCGGCCGAGTGTCTGACACACGTCTCCCCCCTTCCCCCTCTCGACTCTCCTCTTCCCCCGGTGTGATTGCTGAGATGAGCGGTGTCTTACCGTTAGGTCTTTCCCGGCCCACTTACACTCGTCTCTCCTGGTCTGGGACGGGGGCCAGTGAATCTGAAACGTCAAACACAAAGATATCAGACCCCTGGCTTTCCACCCCTCACCTCATCCCATCCTCCAGGGGCCTCACAGCACTTGGCAGGATTTTACTGTAAAGCGTAGTGACTGTGTCTTTTGTAGGCGAACGCAGCAGACAATTTGTGCCCAGCAACGTCCTCGCAAACACCTGTGGCGTGAGCGAGCGATTTTATCTGAGGGGTGGGGGGGGGTGGATTGGCAGCCAGGACACCGAGAGAGAGAGAGAGAGAGAGAAACTTTTCCCTTCTCTTTTCCCAACAGCGGGATCTTTAACGTCCACCCGAACAGGGCACAGACGGGGTGTGAGGGAGTGAGACGTCTCAACGACGTGATAAAGCACTATATCAAGTGCAGGGATTGTTATTATTATTATTATTATTATTATTATTATTATTGCTGTGAGCTCACACCTCACTGACTCTGGGGTGAGAATGAGACACCAACTGAGCCCAGACCGGAGGGCGGAGAGAGAAAGCTAATCAGCTCTGTTCCTCAGCTCAGTGTAAACGTCATAATACAAACCAGGTGATAACGTCTTGAAGTCAGGGTTGTGGCTCTCTCCCTCCGAGCCGGTGGTGTGGGGGGGGGGGGGCGGTGGGGAAAGGGTGGGGGGTGGGGGAACAGTCTGAGGACATCAAAGGCAGGACTGGGTAAGAACTGGGTGATTTATCACCTCTCAAACGCAGGATGGCCCAGGCCAAGTGTAACTCAGAGCTCAGACACCGGCTGGTTTCCTTACTGCGACTGAAATTCAGGCCAGAATGACCCAGGGTAATAATAGCTTCAGCATCTGAGCTGGCGGGGGGTGGGGGGGTGGAGGGGGAGGGGGTGACGGGGTGGGCGGAGGGGGTGGACTGTGGAATTCTCCGCCACAAGCCAGTCCTGGCACACAGTACGGACACACAGCACTTTACTGGCGATTTCAGACGTGCTGTAAGAACTGATCCCCCCCCGACCCCCCGACCCACCCACCCACCCGCACCCCGTGGATCTCCTGTGGCTCAGTGATGAGACCTCACCGTGCGATCGAGAGGACCCAATCAATCAATTCCGCACAGCAGTGCCCCACAAACGGTCGTGGATCGAGTAGCCAAACTTTCGCCCCGTTCCCGGGAATCAAACCCCAGGTCCTCTCGCTCGAGGCCAGTGCACCAACCCCTACCCCACGGCAAGGTGCTGCATCAAGAGGTTATTGAGTACTAAGCATGTGTGAGGAGGGGGTTTGAAGCCCGGGAGAGAGAGAAGGGGCGAGGTGTAGGGAGGTTTGAGGGTCCCGGGGAGCGGAGAGGGCCGTGGAGGTGGGGGGGAGTGGGGATTCAGACGGGAATAGCGGAACTTTAAAGGGTGAGGGGGGGCGATGGGAGAGGTTTGTGTGAAGATAACGTGGACTGGGTTGTGTTGGCCATATGGCCCTCTGGTGTCAGCCCCCGCCATCGGACAGGGTGTAAACTGCCTCGTTCCACAACACGTTCCATGTGATAGTTATCACGTCAAATCTGTTATGAAATGACACAACTCTTCCCTTTGAGTGGACATTCGAGCCAAAGTATTTTTTGTGTGTGTGTGTGTGGGGGGTGGGGGGAGGATAGTGAGGTGCATCCCAGGCCTTTAGCCATGCGCAGTCCTGTAGGAGCTCGAACCCGCAACCTGGTGAGGGGGAGCGGGCGACTGAGCCGAAAGCTGAGGAGCACAGGACTCGGGTGTAAACGGTGAAGGAGGAAGAGATAAGAGTTGCCGAGAGGAGCAGAGTGACATATTTATTCTGCTTGAAGGAGCCTCTTACCGCGTTATGGGGGTTTGTTTGACAGAAGGAGGTAACAAGTGAGTACGAGGTGACTGAGCCCCTGTTTGTTTTGAATCGCTCTCTGCTCTAAGTACACTAAACCCAGGTCCCCACGCAGCCTGGTCCATCCTCACACTCGGCCGAGCTCCCTCACTTACTCTTCCGGTCTCTCTGCTTTGTTAATTACCCCCTCCACCCCCCCCCCCACCCCACCCCCCCCCCCCCACGCACACCCACCCCTCATCTGTGCCCTGCGCTGCCGGGAACAGAGAAGGGAGTTTCTCTCTCTCTCTCTTTCTTTATCGGTGTCCTGGCCGAAAATGCCCCCCCACCCAAATAAAATCGCTCGCTCACTTCACGGCTGTTTGCGAGGACGTCGCTGTGCGCAAATCGGCTGCCGGGTTCGCCCACAAAACACACAGTCACTACGTCCGATGATAAATTGTGTGAAGCACTTTCAGACGTCCTCCTGACGTGAAATGCGCTGTCAAATGTGAGGATCGCTGTTAGCTTAAAACTGCTTCCCTCTTGCTCTCCCTCCCTCCCTCCCTCCCTCCCTCCCTCTTTACCTCCCTCTCCCTCTTTCTTTCCCCCCCTCGCTCTCTCCCCTCTCCCTTTTCTCCCGCTCTCTCTCTTTCTTTTCCCCCGCTCTCTCTCTTCTTCCCCCTCTCTCTCTTGCTCTTGCTTCTCTCTCTCAATTTCCCTACCTCGCTCTTCTCTCTCTCTCTTCTCTCTCCCCCCACTCCCCCTCCCTGCCTCCCCCCCCTCTCTCTCTCTCTCTCTCCCTCCCCCCTCTCTCTCCTTCCCTCCTAGCCTCCCCCCCTCTCTTTCTCTCTCTCTCTCTCCCCCCTCGCTTCTATTTCTCTCCGAATCTTGTGCTAATTACCAGGTATCAGTGTCTCCCCCCACACACCCCCCCCCCAGCCCGCTCCCCCAGCCCCACCGCCCCCACAACCCCCACCCAGGTTGTCCCCTGTGCTGACGGGAGGGGGGAATGGGCTCCAGTGTGTTTTCTAGGACTCTGGGCGGAGGAGCAGTGAGTGGAGCTGAGCTGAGCTGAGCTGAGTGATGTGCTATGTCTGGGCGGTTGGAGCTGCCCTGCAGACAGATCTGCCAACCACCCGTGACGGGTGTGTGCTTTAAGTGTAGCAGGACATGCTCCGTCTAGCATGACTCTGTGTGTGTGTGGGGGGGGGGGGTGGGGTGGGGGGGGGGGTGGCAGGGCTGTGAATGCCACTGACAGGCAGATACCATCCAGTCAGTCAGCTATGGAGCCCTGTAGCTCAGCGATTAGAGCCCTCGCCCCGCAAGCGAGAGGGCTCGGGTTTGATTCCCGGGCAGAGCGAAACCTTAGGCAAGTTTCCTTACCCCCCCCCACCCCCCCGCGCCCCCCCCCATATACACACACACACGCCCCTGTTTACCAGCAGTTGTTAATCGATTGGGGGAATCGCTTTCCGGGGGTAATAAACCCTTCAAAATAATATAATAATGTGGTCACGCAATCCGCGGCTGTCTGTGGGACGTCGCCGGGTGCAATTGGCTGCCAATTTTGGAAGCGAGTTACAGTGCATCCTGTGAAGCGCTTTGCGACGCCTGAACGACGTGATAAGGCGCCGTATCAAGTGCCCAGGATTATTAACTTGAATTTCTGCAGGAATCTTTCACCGAGGGCAGCGTCTCGGAGCTCTCAACAGCAGCGGAGCGCGATGCCAAGCCGTGAGCATGAGGGGCGACGAGGAAGGTCTTCGGGTCCGATCTGAAGGTGGGGAAGGAGGGGGCAAAGGCGGAGGGACAAAGGGAGAGAGCTCCAGAGTTTCGGGGCTTAGTGGCTGAAAGCGCGGCCGATGATGGTAGAGCGGAGGGGACGAGGGACATGCAGGAGGTCGAGCGGAGGCAGAGGGGTGCGGAGTGGGGATCAGCCTCCCTGCTCCCCTCTGTCTCTCTCTCTCTCTCTCTCTCTCTGGGTGGAAGCTCTCGGCTTTGCTGCGCGTAAACACAGAAGTCAGTCACCTTCAGGACGTCCTTGTTGATGTCGGTCAGGTCGAAGGAGAAGACGTAGTCCTTGGCGCCCACGTACAGCCGGCCTCTCTCCTCGTCCAGGAGGAAGGTCTGGTAACTGGAGCTGTTGGCGATGCCGGGGAAACTCACCACATTGTTCAGCTCCACCATTTCTGTGAGAGAACAAGTAGAGAACAGGGGTGTGTGAGGGGTGTTGGGTGGGGGGGTGGGGGGGGGGTTCAGTCACAGTCGAGGGTTAACAGGGGACAGAGGATCACAAATGACAGTAATAGCAGTCCTCGTGTTTGACCCCAGCGCCGTATCCTGTCGTTGAGACGTCTCAAAGCGCTTCACGGAACACGCTGTACGGTGTAGTGACTGTGCATTTTTGTGGGTGAAACGCGGCGGCCAATTGCGCACCGCAGCGTCCCCCACAAACAGCCGTGGATTGAGCGACCAATATTTGAGGGGTTTGGGGGTGGAGAGGGGAGAGTTGAAGATGAAGGGGGGAGGGAACCGGATGGGGTGGGGTGGGGGGGTCGAGTCTGGGTGTACGGGAGCAAGCGGGGGGGGGTGGTGGTGGTGGGGGGAGGTGGGGGGAAACCAGTTGGAGGGAGAGTGAGGGTGAATGGGGGAGGGGGAGGGGGGGGGGAGCCAGGCTGCGGAGCAGTGAGTGAGGAGATGTGGACGAGCCACCTGCGTGTGTGTCCCACCCCCACTCCCCCCCCCCCACCCCCACCCTCTCCCCACCCCTCTACCCGAGGCACTGAAACACTTCCCAACCGGGACAGACAGCCGGACAGCAGGTGACGGAGGACAATCAGCAGCAAATTCCGCCAGTTACGGGCAATAATATTATTAACAATCATAATAATAATAATGATAATCCTCAACTCTCACAGCGAAATGTCTCGAGGGCCGTTCGCAGGGAGTTACCATGTAATGACACGTCGCCCGTGGCTTGGATTTAGCGCCTGGGGAGGACGTCTCAAAGTGCTTCGCGAGGTTCGGGTTTAATGGGCGGTGACCGTGCCTTTTGTGGGCGAAAGGCAGCGGACAGTTTGCGCACAGCGACGTCTCCGCAACCGGCCGTGGAGCGAGCGAGAGATTTTATCGGTGGTGGTGGGGCGCGGGGGGTGGGGGGGGTTTGCCCAAAGCAAAGTCCCGCAAAACAGCCATTTCTCTATAAATCGGTGCAGGAGTGGGGATGGGGGAGCGAGGAGGGGGGGCGCGGGGGTGGGGGGGGGTGGGTGGGGGGGGGATTAGTAACCAGGACTCCGCGCCTTCTCTTTAGATGTAAACGTTGGGTGATCAGAGCTGAACAACACAGTCCGTTCCACAGCCGAGTGTTACCCGATCTCCTGTACAGAGGCAAACTATGCACTAAATGCTGTGGCTCCGACCACGATTGTATGTTGACTTTATTTAAAAACAACACACACACACACACACAGACACAGACGGAGCGAATAATTCACGGAGGAGGTCCTCTCATTGCAGCCGACAGGCAAAACCTCCGCACTTACAATCTCCAGCTTAAGTGGTTAGAGCGAGAATTCATTCCTCCCGAAAAAAAAATGCGCTCACTCAACCCCACGACTGTTTGCGGGGGGAACGCTGCTGCGCGCAACCGGCGGCCGCGTTTCGCCCGCAAAATACACACAGTCGCTTTGAGACGTCTCGAGGACTCGAAAAGGCGCCGTGTCAAATTATTATTATTATTATTAGTGTTGTAAGTCCTCAACGTTCAACAAGAACTTTTTTACCGAAGCATTTGTACCGTGGCCCCTCACGCAGGGCCGTGTCCTGGAGCACTTGTTCAGGATATTGCGTCAGGATATTGTCCACAGACATGGGGTGAACTCTCCTGGGTTTGTGCATTACGTTACAGTAAAGGTTACGAAACCGGAGATTTTGCGAAATCCCCGAAACCTTCAGCGAAATTGCGAAATCACAAAACCGTCGAAATTAGGAGTCGGGGAATTTGCTGAAAAAAGGCGATTATTTCATCGTTTTGATAACCGGCCTCGACACTTGTTTTAGTGTTATCAACACATAAGTGTTGCACGTTGCGCAATTAATATTTTATTCACCAACTCCAAGTGATGTCTCACTTGGCTGATGAGTCAAAACAAATGTTTGTCACCGCAAGTCAAGTTTCCAGGACACCGGACGATATATTTTAGCTTTGCTTTGAAGCATTTATAATAATAATAATCCTCGCATTTGATAGGGCGCCTTCTCACGTCTTCGAGACGTCTCAAAGCGCTTCACGGGATATACTGTAAAGTGTAGTGACTGCGTACTTTGTGGGCGAATTGCGCACAGCAGCGTCCCCACAAACGGCCGTGGATTGAGTGACCGGATTATTATTATTGTTATTGCTTGAAGGGATTATACAACTGTCGGTCTGACCTTTTTTTATTTGTAGACATTCACTGTCTGTGCAATAACAGCTTTAATTTCGCAGAATCCCTGGTTTCACAACTCTGCTGTAACCGCCACTGCCTTGTGGAGCTCACCCGCTCCATGGCGGTTGGTGCATCAATCGGCTGCCGCGTTGCGCCCCGCGAAATACAGTCACTACACTTTAGTGCAGAAGCTGTGCGGCGCTTCGAGACGTCTCGACGGCGTGATAAGGCCCCGTATCAAATGCAAGGGTTGTTATTCCTATTAATATTATTATCTGCCTGTTCAGGTGGACCTTAAAGATCCCATAATAATAATAATAATAATAATAATTATTGCATTTGATTTCGCGCCTTAAGACGTTTTCAAGACGTCTCAAAGCGCCTCATTATTCGAAAAGACGAGGGAATCTCTCTCTCTCCCCCCCCCCCCCGCCCGCCGCCCGCCCGCCCCGACCCCCACAGTGTCTGGCCAACAATTCCCCAAATAAAACTGACCCCTGGCCCCACCACTCTTTGTGGGACGTTGCTGCGTGCAATTGGCTGTTGCGTTTGGCCCAGAAAATACACAGTCACTTCACTTGACAGTGCGTTCCTGTGAAGCGGGTGGAGACGTCTCGACGTTGCCGCGGCGGCGCTGGGTCAAACGCGGGGGGTTATTATTCCATGGTATTGTGATTATCATCATTTATAGAACACAGCAACTGCATTATTACGAATATCATGACATGTAAATCAGGGCCAAAGAATCTCCGCCCCGAGCTCTGAGCTCTGAGCTCGTGCCTCCCCCTCCTCGCGGTTCAGCTCCCCCTCGCTCGCTTGCTCAGTCGCCTCGCTGGCTTTTAATTTAAGACACGACAGGTTTAAAAATAGCCTCGGGACCAAAGGAACACTGAAATGATTCCCACTAAACCCACAGCGGTTGAGGAGTGTTAACGTTGACATGAGTTAAACCACAGTCAGTGTGTGACGCACCACGTTAGCAGCTCTGACTCTCTCTCTCTCTCTCTCTCTCTCTCCCCTCTCGTCTCCTCGCGCCCTCCTCTCTCTCTCTCTCTCTCTCTCTCCTCTCTCCCACCTCCCTAACCCCTCACCCACCCCCGAGTTCACCAGATTGGTTCCACTTTGCTCAGTCACTCGCTCACTCGCTCTCTCTCTCTCTCTCGCCCCCATTAATCACAATAATAATAATAATAACCAGAAGGTTGTGGGTTTAAGCCCCTCACGTCGGGCAATTTGAGCTCACAGTGCAGGCTCTGATTTTAAGGCTCTCCCTCCCTCCCCCACCCATCCACCGTCCCCCACCCACCCACCCACCGTCACCCACCCACCCACCATCCCCCACCCACCCACCGTCCCCCACCCACCTGTCCACTGTCTAACCTGTCAATTCAGTTTTCCCAAAATACAACTTACAACATAATTACCCCATCTTCGAGACGTCTCAAAGCGCTTCACAGGATACACGCTAAAAGTGTAGTGACTGTGCATTTTGTGGGCAAAACGCGGCAGCCGATGGCGCACAGCGACGTCCCCACAAACAGCCGTGGGTTGAGTGACCAAATTGTTATTATTTTTTGGGAGGGTCTATTACACCCCGGAAAGCGATCCGCCCATCGACTAACATCCGTGTTCCTACTGACCGCTGGAAAACAGAGGCGTGTGCGTGGAGTGAGGAACGTGCCGCGCCCGGGAGTCGAACCCGGGTCCTCGCGCTCGCGAGGAGAGGGCTCTAACCGCTGAGCTACAGGACCCCACAGGATCCGAGGGCTGAGGCTGAGGCAAGTGGAGACCAGGAGCTTTTGTGATGTGTTAACCTGTTCCCAATCCCGACCGCCCTTCCCCGGGAATTTCCTCTCAAGCCGATCACTTGTAAGCGATTATCCCGGGTCAGTCACTGCCCCGAGGGAGGGGGGGGGGGGGGGGAGCCTCCCTTTTACTCACTGCCTGTTGGGGTGCAGGCAGGGTGGGGGGGTGGGGGTGGGGGGGTGCGAGAGAGGAGCGGAGAGGAAGGGGGACCGGAGGGGGAAGGGAGAGAAGGAAGGTCGTGGCTCTCCCCTCCCGAGGGCCGGGGGGTGGAAGGCGATATCTGGTGATGAAATGCGGCTTTGATGTGTTGGATTTCACCCGAAGCTAATCACACTCAGCTGTGCCACGCACACGCTCACCAACACATACACACATACACACGCACACGCTCACCAACACATACACACATACACACGCACACGCTCACCAACACATACACACATACACACATACACACGCTCACCAACACATACACACATACACACGCACACGCACACACGCTCACCAACACATACAGCCACCGAGCCCGAGCTGGGGTCAGGCACACACACACACACACATACACACACACACACGTATACACACGCACGCGCTCACTCGCCAACACCAATGCCCACACGCTCATGCACACATGCTCACTCACGTGCACAACAACACACACAAGTGCGCGCACGCCATGCGGGCATGCATGCACGCTCACACACAAGCGCACGCCCGTACACGCACGTAGATGCATGTACACGAGCGTACACACGAACACGCACTTTTATATTTCGACTCTGGAGGAGTTTATCCGTTTCCCTGCGAAAACCTGACCCAACCTCAGCCACCGAGGGAAGGAGTTATTTTATTAGGGTGGGAATTGTCGGCCAAAACACCGGGAGAGAGAGAGAGAGAGAGAGAGAGGGGATCTTTAACGCCCATCCGAACAGGGCACAGATGGGGAGCTGTGGGCAAACGTGGCAACCAACTTGCGCTCAGCAAAGAGCAGTGAACTTCCCCCTCTCTCTCTCTCTCTCTCTCTGTCTCAATCTCTCCCTCTCTCACATTCTCTCTCTCTCACTCATTTGTGGAGTCCTGTGGCTCAGTGGTTAGAGCACTCGCTTTGCGAGTGAGAGACCTGAGTTCAATTCCAGGCAGAGGGCGAAACCTTGGGCAAGTTTCCTTACTCCACACAGAGCCTAATAATAGTCCCTCCAAAACAAAACAAAAATAAATTGGTCATTTTCAATCTACGACTGTTTGTGGGACATTGCTGTGCGCAATTGGCTGCCGCGTTCGCCCACAAATATACAGTCAATTCACTTTACAGTGTGTTCTGTGAAGCGCTTTGGGACGTCCTCCCGACGTGAAAAGCGCTATATCAAATGCGAGGATTATTATTATTATTGTCTCACACACACTCTCACTCACTCACTCACTGTCTCATTCTCTCTCTCGCGCGCGCACTCTCAATTCACTCTCTCTCTCTCTCTCTCACTCTAGCGCACGCACACATACTCTCACTCTATCTCTCACTCTAACACACTCCCCCCCTCTCTTTCTCACACACTCTGAATTCACGCTCAATTCACTCACTCTCTCTCTCTCTCTCTCACTCCAACACTCTCTCAAAACACACACACACTAACTCTTGACACACACACTCTCTCACACAAACCCCCTCTCTCTCGCTCTTTCTCTCTCTGTGTGTGTGACACACTCCCTCTCTCTGAATGCCTCCCAGTTGATTATAAATACATTATAACCACAGGATTGTCCTGTGGGAACCGAGTGGAAAGAATTAAAGGCGTCAGTGGCTCTGGCAGGCAATCAGCCTCGAAACCAACCTCCGACTGAAGCTTTCCATTCACGCCCTCGCCCTCGCCCTCTCTCTCCATTCCTTTCTCTCTCCCTCTCTTCCACTCTCTCCCTCCATCTTGCTCTCTCTCCCCCTCCCTCTCTCATTCCCCCTCGCTGCCGCGCGCTCTGTCTCTCTGCCTCCATCCGTCCTTCCCTATCTCTCTCTCTCTCTCTCCCCCCACCCTGTCGCTACTCGGCGTACGGTATGAACCCAGACTTGCTGTCCCTCCCCTCCACACTCCCCCCCCACCCCCTCCCCGGAAATTACCCCCCACCCCACAAACCTCAAATTGCCCTACAACCCACGGCTGTTTGTGGGGACGCTGCTGTGCGCAATCGGCTGCCGCCTTTCACCCACAAAACACACAGTCACTGCACTTTACGGTATCTCCCGCAAAGCGCTTTGAGACGTCTCGAGGACGTGATAAGGCGCTGTATCAACTGTGAGGATTATTATTATTATTATTATTAAAGGGGTTTCTCTTTCTCTCTCTCTTTCCCGGCTTCTCGTGCCCGCCCTGGTCTCCCAGCCCCTCACTGTTCCCCCCCCTTCCCCCTCCACCCCCCACCACCCGCATCGCATCTCACAGCTTCTCGTACACGGCGTACGGCAGCGTGCGCTAAGGCGGAGGTCGTGAGCGAGCGACGACGCCGTGCGAACCATTGTGAGTGCGAAGGAAACTCTGAGCGATTCCGTTGAGAATCACGGCTTCGAGTTTGTTACCCTAAGAACGTCGCCGGACAGAAGGAGACCGAGGTCCACACGGTTTGCCTCCCACCCTCCTGGCGGTCGCTTGACCTGTCGCATCTCCGAAACCCTCCGCCGCATTATCCCCGGATGCTATTCTCCTGATAAAAATCGATCAAATTTGCTCTTGAATTCATTGATTTGTTGTGAATTTGCCCCTCCCCCCACCCAGTCCACCCCCCACTTCAATCGCAGGCGGTGTCCTAACCATCCGCTTTAGTCCGCGCCCGGCATTGTTCGGGGCTTTCCAAAAAAAAAACTAATCGTCGTAATAATTAAGATAACAATAAAAATAATAAAAAGAATAATAATAAACTTTGCATTTTGATCCTAGGCCTGAAATCTCAGAAAATGCTAAGTTACTCCTTATCCTCTCCTCCCCCCCCATCCCACGCACACACACCCCCCCACCCCCAAGACAGTCCCCCACCTCCTACGCACACAGCCTCACCTCCCACGCACCCCCCCCCCCACCTCCCACGCACGCACACGGCCGACATTCATTAAAACATCTCGACCTTCAACACAAGGAGAAGATGTGCGAAGGTCTTGTCTCTCTCTCCTCGCCCCGAGACCTTCCCTCGACTGACGCGAGGTCACGTGCGGTCAGAGAGCTGGGGGTGCGGGGTGGGGGGGGGGTGGGGGGGGGGGGAGCGGAGTATTGTCAGAGACGGCCGTCCTTCAAACCGGACCGGCGTCAGGAGTCGGAATCGCGCAGACTGACGCAGGCTCAGCTGACGTTAAACCTCACTCCCCGTCCGCCTGCTCAGGTGGACATTAAAGATCCCCGGCCCACCATCCCCCAGATAACCCGGTCACTCGCTGGACGGCTGTGTCCGGGGACGTCGCTGTGCGTAACTGAGCTGCCGCAGTGTGTCCCGTGAAGGCGCTTTGAAGCTCTACATCGAACTCAAGGATTAACGTCCGTTAAAACAATGACTTCCACATTGCCAGAGAATGAGTAAAACAACGTGCTCTCCTCGCAGGGAGGGAGGGAGGGAGGGAGGGAGGGAGGAGGGGAAGAAAAAAAAACACCGCCTGTGCCAACAAAAATCATTTAATCTCACAATTACTCATCGTAATTCGTCGAGTAGTAAAACTGAATAGAGTGAGCGAGGCAGAGAGAGAGAGAGAGAGAGAGAGAGAGAGTGTGGAAGAGTGCCAGAGAGAGAAGCTTATCGCAGAGTTTTATCACCTCGGCTCAAAGCGCCTCGCAGCTCATTAATATTAAATTAATAATAATTCGAAGGTTAATATATTTTAATTCTCAATTACTCTTCAGCAGTTTGAAAGCCGGTGAGGAAGGGCGGCTGAATTCGTAGCCCCCCGCGGGTCGAAACCCATCCTTCGGATAATAATAATCCTCGCGTTTGATACGCCGCCTTATCACGTCTTCGAGACGTCTCAAAGCGCTTCACGGGATACACTGCAGAGTGCAGTGACTGTGTGTTTTGCGGGCGAAACGCGGGGCAGCCGATTGCGCACAGCGACGTCCCCCACGAACAGCCGTGGGGTTTCGCCCTGACCTGACCCGCCCGGGAAATCGAACCGGATCCTCTCGCTTGCGAGGCGAGGGGTCTAACCCCCCCTGAGCTCCAGGGACTCCACGGAAGGAGGGAGAGAGAGAGAGAGAGAGAAAGAGAGAGAAAAAGAGAGGGGAGGAGGGAGAGAGAGAGAGAGAGTTCAAAGCAAGCTTACCTTTGTAGGAGAGCTTTAATCTTGGCACATTCCTCTTGACGGCCTGGCCGCTCAGCCAGGGTGGGAGCAGGGCGAGGAGAGCGGTGATTGCTGACAGCCAGTCCATGGTTTGAAGCCCCTTCGCCGGGGGAGTCGGGGAGCGGGAGGGAGGGAGGGAGGGAGGGAGGCAGAGCACCAATCACCCAGTTACGCTTCTCTTGTGCGTGTTTGTTGCCCCTTTTTTTTCCCCCCCTTTCGGTGTTAAAGCCCCTTTCCCTCTGTGGCTGTGTTCAAGCCTGAGACCCTGCGGGGGGGGGGGGGGGGGGGGGAAGGTAACAGGTGATCAGAGGCAGTCTCGCTCACTAGAGGAGTCAGGTTGCTTTTCTCTCTAGTGTGGCTCGCTCACACTCATGCTCTCGCACACACACCTACGCACACGCACGCACTCATGCACACGCGCACACACACGCACAGCAGACAAGTGAGCTGGAATAGTTAATGCTTCAGATCAATGGGAAGCTCTTCACAGTGTATATTAGAGAAAGAGAGAGAGACACACAGAGAGCGAGACACACCCACACAGTCAATGACACACTGAAAGAAGGACACACACACACACACTCACACAGTGACAGACACAGAGAGACACACACACAGTGACAGAGAAAGACACACACACACACTCACACAGTGACAGACACAAAGAGACACACACACACAGTGACAGACAGAGAAAGACACACACACACACTCACACAGTGACAGACACAGAGAGACACACACACACACAGTGACAGACAGAGAAAGACACACACACACTCACACAGTGACACACACAGAGAGAGACACACACACACAGTGACAGATGGAGAGAGACACACACACAGTGACAGACAGAGAAAGCCACACACAGAGAGACACACACACACACTCACACAGTGACAGACGGAGAGAGACACACACAGAGACACATACGCATGGAAACACACACAGTGACAGAGAGAGTCACACACACAGTGACAGAGAGAGTCACACACACATACAGTGACAGACACAGAGAGTCTCACACACACACACACACAGTGACAGACAGAGTCACACACACAGTGACAGACACAGAGAGTCACACACACACAATGACAGACACAGAGTCACACACACACACAGTGACAGACAGAGTCACGCGCGCACACACACAGTGACAGACACAGAGTCACACACACAGTGACAGACACAGAGAGTCACACACACACACAGTGACAGACACAGAGTCACACACACACACAGTGACAGACACAGAAACACAAACACACACAAATGGAAAGCACACACACAGGACCTGCGCACACACACACACACACACACACTCATTGTTTCAGCAGTTACTGGGTCTCTCGCTCTCGCTCTGCCCCCCTCTCCTCCCCGATGATTCTCAAAGCAATTAAATGTTTGTTGGGGCTGTTGCTGGTGTCTGTCTGTCTGTCTGTCTGTCTGTGCCTCTCACTCTGCTCCGAGCACCAGATTGTGGAGCCTCAGCACATAGCTTTTCTCTCCTTCTCTGTCTTTCTCTCTCTCTCTCTCTCTCCCTCCCAACCCACTGCAGCCCTTTTGCTGACAATGAAACACCAAATGATTTCCATCTCATGTCTGTGTCCCTCCCTGGTATTAGCGGGATTAAACATACACACGCACACGCACACACACACAGGCTCAAACGCACATGCACACAGACACACCACAGGCAGGCGCGCACACGCACACACACACAGAGAGGCAGACACACACACACACAGAGAGGCAAAGAGAGACACAACACATACACTCACTCGATGTATGTGTGTGTGTGTTAGTGAGGGTCTGTGTGTTCGTGCGCACGTGTGTCAGTGCATTTGTGTATCTGTGCTAGTGTGCAAGTTAGTGTCGATGTGTGTGTGTGTGTGTGTTGGTGTGTGTTAGTGCATGTGCTGGTGTGTGCGTGTGTGTCAGTGTGTGTGCTGGCGCGCGCGTGTGAGTGGGTGGGTGTGCTGGCGCGTGTTAGTGCGTGTGTTGGTGAGTGTGCGCGTGTTAGTGCGTGTGCTGGCGTGTGCGCGTGCGCGTTAGTGGGTGTGCGTGCGCTCTGTCAGACGAGCCCTTGGCCGCGGCCGCCCGCCTCTGGTTGCCGGAGTGCTACGGTTATTGCTCAAACAAAAACAGATCGGGAGGAAGGACGGACAATTTCCCACACTCTTTCTTCCCCCGATTGTGCGCAAAGCGCCAGCAAACTTTGCCTCGCGGGCAATGTGTGTCCACAATCAGCAACAGAACGAGAGACGCGCGGAGAGAGAGAGAGAGAGAGAGAGACACAGCGAGAAACTGTTAACCCCTTCCTGTCGACTCTCTCTCTCTCGCTCTCTCTCTCCCTCCGTTTCCATCTAAAATATCACACAGTTAAAACAAAAACACGCACACGCACACCGTTCTTTAGGTTTTCTTTCCTGTTTAAGCGGCCACTCCCTCAGGAAAAGCCCCAGTAAACCTCACCCAAAAACAACTCGGATCAAAGGGAACGGGGAGAAGCCAACTGGCTCTCTGGTGCTTCGAAGATTCTTTTTCTTTTCTTCCGGGAGTGGAAATTGTTTTGGGGAATTTGGGCTCGTTTTAAGGTTCACGCTGATAGGGACACAGACGGAGGGAGACACAGAGAGAGAGAGAGACACACACAGACACAGACACACACACACACACGCACGCGGATATAGAGTGAAAGACAGACACACACGCGCGCGCACACAGATACAGACACACGCACATACACACACCACAGACACAGAGACACATGCACACAGACAGACAGAGAGAGAGAGAGACACAGACACAGACAGACACACACACAGATACAGAGAGAAAGACACACACAAATGGAAACACGCACAGAAATGTGAGCGCACATCACCCCCCACACACTCACACTCACCCCCCCACACCTTATTTTAGCAATGCAGAGATTTATTTTATCGCCAAACACAGAGCGAGAAGTTCGGGTTAATTTTCGGTGTGGACAGGCGGTCGGTCGAGGGGGTGGTTGGTGGGGGGGGGGGGGGGCGGAGGGAAGGAGGGGAGGTTATCCGGAGGAACATAAGGTTGGTGTTTTTTGCCTATTAGCGAGGGCGTAGACCCCTACCTCTCCCCCCAAGAAAAACAACAACAAACAAGGGATGAGCAGGAATGTCTGCGAGGAGGTTACAACAGGTCAGTCAGCCTCCAGCGTACAAAGCGAGTCTCTGCGCTGATGGTATTGTGTGGTGGAATGTCAGAGTCGCTGTTCAATCCCTCTCCTCTCCAGGACACTAACACAATATTATTTTAAGGTCTTTTTATTGCCGTTAACCAGCCTGCAGCTGGGTCCCCATATCGCACGGCTCACTACAGAGCTTTGGTTTTTCTGCTCAGTCGAGTGTCTCCGACACACACGGAAACCCGTCGCCGTGGCTTAAGAGTCTCCGAACCCAACTGAGAAGTCCTCCCATTCCCGCCCACACCTGGAAACCCCAGCGAGAGATTGTTGGGATGGAATGCGCTCTCTCTCTCTCTCTCTCTCCCCCTCTCTCACCCTACTTACCCAATTCCGGAGAGTATAAGGGGTAGGTTGGCGGGAGCTCGGAGTGTGCGTTGGGGGTAACTGCTGGAATCTAACCAGGTAAACCCACTTAGCTCGGCCAGTGAGAGCGCTGTCTGGCCAAGCTTTCCCGCTGCTTGTCCAGCGAGGACCACCCTCCCCGTTAGTTAGGGCTTTGGCTGCAGGTTTATTAACAGGAGCCGAGTGAGATGACTACAGAAGAGAGCACCAACGACACACACGGCCCGTAATAAAGAGCAGAGCCAAGCAATCCCCTCATTAACACAGACACACACTATAAATACTCGACTTCTAAAGACTTTTGAGTTAAAAGGTTCAGAGCACACCGACACGCCCACACACCCCAGTAATCCACGCTAAACAGCCTCGTAAAACACTAATGGTTCCTCGTCTCATCTCACCTCACCCATAAAATCACAGTCACTGCACTTTGCGGTAAATCCTGGGAAGCGCTTTGAGGCGTCTCGATGGTGTGATGACTTGATCAGCCGACACACACACGCACACACGCGCGGAAACCCATCACCGTGAAATTGGCAGCAATTTGCGCACAGTAACATCCCCATAAACGGCGGTAAAGTGAGCGAGTGATTTTATCTGGGAGTGGAGGAAATTATCGGCCAGGACTCGGGGGGGAGAGAGAGAGAGAGGTGGGGGGATACTCCCTCCTATTTTAGCCACAACGCCATAGGATCTTTAATATCCACCTGAACAGGGCGCAGACGGGGGGAGTGAGGTTTAAAGTCTCACCCACACGGTGTCTCTAACGATGGTACTGGACTGGGAGCTCAAAGTCCCTGACGTGGGAGTGTGAGAACGGGTGGTAGGAGAGAAAGAGAGAGAGAGAGAGAGAGGGGGGGGGAAGAGAGACAGAAGGGGGAGGAGAGGGGGACAAGGCGGAAGAGAGGGAGAGAGAGGGAGGGAGAGAGAGGGAAAGGGAGAGTGTGGGGGTGGGGAGAGAGAGAGAACCTTGATTTAATTGAACTTGGGACTTTCAGTGGCTCAGTCATTGTGGTCCAGTTAATCACTTCAAGACTTGCCGTCTCTGCCTGGCTGCTCTCTGCTCTCCTGTTACTCATCTGTCACCAGGAACCACTTGTTTGAGGTTGAAACGCAATCAGTAACGTTAAAAACTTGATCCGCGGCGTAAGGGGGAAGCGAGGGGAAGAAGGGAGCTCGCTGGGGAGAGAGAGAACGAGAGAGAGAGAGAGAGAGAGAGAGAGAGAGCAGGCAAGGCGAGCGAGGCAAAACCATCCCCATCAACTCAGCCTTTTGATCTCTGTGTCTTATTTCAATCAGCGCAGAGAGAGGGAGAGGGGGAGAGAGAGAGAGAGAGGGAGAGGGGGAGAGAGAGAGAGAGAGACAGACAGCGAGGGTGTGCGAGAAAAAGCCAAAGAGAGCGAGATAGACAACCAGAGGGCGAGAGAGTGAGAGAGAGAGAGAGAGAGAGAGAGAGAGTCAGTCAGAGCCTGCGCCAGAGTGAGAGAGAGAGAGAGAGAGAGAGAGTGTCTGTGCTGGGGCTCGCTCCCCCCACCGGAGCTTTCCACTCTAATCTGTGGAG